ACACACACACACGCACACACACACACACACACAAAATCCAAAAGGAACATACAGTGCTGCATTCTGCATCTTTCTGAAACTAAAACATTATCTTTCCCATGTTCCTTTCCTACCAATTGCCAAGTTCCACTTACAGCTGGCTGAACTCAGAAAAATAGGGTAAAGTATTCGTCAAAGACTGCAATGATGGATCTAAATAAGCTGGTATTCAAACTCAGAGCTTTTTCATGACAAGTCCAAGACCATATTTGCAACATAAAATGACATGATATATATATATATACATATTGTAGTGGAATCTGATTCTAAAATCACATTGTTCATTGTTTCAGGAAGCAATATCCCTGCATTCTGGACGTACCCATTGATGCTCCGCTGCTCTCTCCAAAATGTCACTCAGGGTCTTTCTACTGATTGTGCCAACTTCTTAGATCACAAAACCATCCAAACTACAGATCCAAAATATAGAAGACAGAAGCTTGTCAGTAGGTAGAGAGAGGGGCAAACTTTGATACTTAGAAGATGGAAAAAGTGAGAAATCCTACTGGCAGCTAATAAACTGTTAAATTTGTTGTTTCTAAAATTACAAGTTATAACAAACAAATCTCTCAAGGTACAACTGATAACTCACCTTCCAACAAATCCGTTTTGTGCTACCTCTGTCAATGCTTTTGCTACGAATGGCAAAGATTCAGAATTCTGAGTATCTGGGGAGAGTAAAAATCCAGAAAAACCACCCACTGTAATCAGTTTCAAAACGTATGACCAGTCTGAAATCAGATTGCCACAGTAACAGTAATTATGTTTCAAACATGTTTTACATCCTCATCGACACTGTTTGGACCATTTATGAGGCCAGCTGCTTCAACTCTCTCTTCCAGGGCTACTCTACTCCAGGCAATGTGAGATATAGCAGAAAGACGGAGACAAGCGACAAAACATTATCTTGATGAAGGAATTGAACTTAAGTCCTTTGTATGCAAGGCAAACAGCACTACAGACAGTAATTCTCAGTTTACTAAAAAAGCAAAATACTGGCTTCGTTTCTCTTCTTATTTCCCTTTGTTTTTTGTACCAGTTCAACGTGTAAATTAGACAAAATAAAGTACATGTAACTCGACAGCTATTGAATTAAAGGTTCTAATAAGAAAGAGGAAAATAAAGGGAAGGAATTAAGGTATGATGCATCTGAGTAAATACCACACGCACACACATCAGAGAGGTGTCATTTGAGTGAGAGTTTTACGGCACTTGCATCACAAATAGATCATATAAGCGCCAAAGATTACAGATGCTACTAGAGAATAAATACAAAGAGAAAAAGAAGGAGAGATAAAGACGACAGATGTTTGATAGGAAAGAAAACCACAAAACAGCACCAACCACACATGCTCATCTGTGTCGAATCAAGCGGAAACAACAAGCCCTCAGGAAATAAGTTTTTCCTCTACCTTGTATTTCTGCCGGATTCTTTTCCTCTGAGAGTGGATCCAAGTCAGATATCAGAATGTCTTCTTTCTCTTGACAAGCAATCTGAGGAAAAATGCCCCCCAAAAATGTACTTTTCGTAATTGTGATAATTTTACACTGAGCGAACTTTGGGATATGTATATAAATAAACTTCTGTCTATCAATAGGAGGCACAAC